CACGTAGTCTATATCGCGTAGACATGTAAATTCTTACCTTTTCACATAGCTCATAACTTTTCCTGCATATTCATGTCATATAATGCATTTTATATGAATTCATGTCATGTCTCATAATACATAATATGATCATGTACCAGGATATAAAATCTAGACTTATCACAAGTCTAGAATTGAGTATATTTCTATAATTATGCTATGCATATGCACTCACCTATATTTCTTTGCCTTTTCCTCGATCGATCCTACTTGTAGATTGTTCCCGAACTCGTGTAGGCTCAGTATCTACATAAACATAATTTTCAAGATGATTATCAGATGTCTATGTCTTGAAATTAATCTTTAATAGCCTACCAATTTAAGGAATTAATAGTTTAGTCTTTTTTTTATGGGGGAATCGGTTCCCCCCTGGGGGTATCGATTCCCCTCTAGCATTCTGGAAATTCATATTCGTTGAGGGGGTATCGATTCCCCTTGAATGGGTACCGATTCCCCCAGCCCAGAAATCCTATTTTGAGCTCGAAAATCATCTCATTTCAGCTCAAACATTCATATTTCACTCCCTTTAATACTCTTAACTTTCATACACTTACTTAAACTAATTATTATCCATTCAATACCTCTAAAACTAAAAAAACTAATCATCCATATAGAAAGAATCTTACTCAAATTCCAACTTGTTCTAATTTTAATTCTATCACCTCATACTTCTTAATTAGCTTGATGACAAGTCAAATCCAGCTTATAATTCTTATTATGACCTTTAATCTAAGATTTCATTCAATGGCTCTCAACCTTTAATCTCCCTTAACTTGCAATTCTTTGAGTTCTAGGATCCTTGTTTCTCTCCATCATATTTCCTAAATCTTCATTAACCAAACCCATGCTTAACTCATAAGAATTAATCCAAAAGAAGACAACTCACCTTGCTTGCAAGCTTCACGGTTGGAGAAGAAAGAGAAGAAGAGAAATGTCTGGAACCTTGTTTATCTCAAATGCTTCCCACGTGATTTATAAAATCACCCTAAGGAATATTTAATTATTTCACTTACTAAATTACTCTTTTGCCCTCATAATTTTCCTTCTTTATAATTCAATCCTACACCAAATAACTCAAATAGGTCATTGAACTCTTCCATCATTTTACTTAAATCACCAAATATTGAAACTTTGCAAATTAATCACTAACCCGGCATGGAGAATGTTACAAATCTCCCTCCCTTAAGAAATTCGTCCTCGAATTTTCAATAAAAAAGAGATGGGGATACTGATTCCTCATATCCTCCTCACGCTCTCATGTTGCTTCCTCTACTTTGTGATTCTTCCATAAACTTTAACCAATGGAATAGTCTTGTTCCTCAATTGCTTAACCTCATGAGCTAAAATTTGAATCGATTCTTCCTCATAAGTCATATCCGGTTGTACCTCGATCTCTTCTGGATTTACGATATGGGAGGGATCCGATCGATATATTCGAAGCATTGAGACATGGAATACATTGTGAATCTTTTCCATTTCTGGTGGTAAAGTCAATTGGTATGCTACAGGTCCCACCCTTTTTACAATCTCATATGGTCCAATAAACCGGGGACTTAACTTTCCTTTCCGACCAAACCTCAACACATTCTTCCATGGAGATACCTTTAAAAACACTTTATCCCCAACTTCAAATTCAATCTCCTTTCTTTTAAGATCAAATAGACTTTTTCCGATCAGAGGCCACTTTGAGGTTATGCTGAATTTCTCGAACTTTCTGTTCTACATCTTGAATTAAATCCGGACCAAGAATACTTCGGTCTTTGAGTTCATACCAATTTAATGGAGTACGACATTTTCTTCCATAATGCTTCATATGGGGCCATCTTTATACTAGACTGATAACTATTGTTGTAAGCAACTCTGCCAGCGGTAAATACTTTTCCCATGATCCTTTAAATTCCATTACGCATGCTCTCAACATATCTTCCAATATCTGAATAGTTCTCTCTGATTGCCCATCAGTATGAGGATGAAAAGTCATACTAAAGTTTAAACGAGTTCCCAACGCTCCATGCAAAGATTTCCAGAATCTAGAAGTGAATCGAGGGTCTCGATCAGAGACTATGGAAACAGGTACTCCATGCAATCTAATAACTTCTCTAATATACAGCTCTGCATATTTTTCCATAGAGAAATCCGTTCTAACTGGAAGGAAATGCGCTGACTTAGTTAATCGATCAACAATTACCCAGATTGATTCTCTTTTGTTCGGAGTCAAGGGTAACCCCGAAACAAAATCCATCGTAACATTTTCCCATTTCCATTGAGGAATGAAAAGCGGTTGCAATAATCCTGATGGAACTTGATGCTCGACTTTGACTTGTTGACATATCAAACATAGACACAAATTCGATGATGCTTCGTTTCATCCCTGACCACCAAAATCGATCCTTCAAATCCATATACATCTTGGTTCCACCCGGGTGCATCGTTAACGGACTGTAATGAGCCTCTGTTAATATTTCTTTCTTCAAGTCGTCATTGTCGGGTATTACAATTCTTCCTTTACAATATAGATTTCCATCTGACTTAATCTCAAAGTCTTTAATCTCTTTGTTCTTTACTTGTTCAATTCTTTTCAAACACACTTCATCTTTACTTTGCAATTCTCCTATTCGTTCCAACCATGCTGGTTTAAGGGTTAATTCTGCACAAAGACCACCATCTCCCGTTAAAGATAATCTTGCATCCATAGCTCGTAAAGCTGCAAACGTCTTCTACTCAGAGCATCTGCTACCACATTAGCCTTTACGGGATGATAGTCAATTATCACATCATAATCTTTTAAGAACTCTACCCATCTACGTTGCCTCAATTTCAACTTTTTGAGTCATCAGGTACTTCAGGCTCTTATGATCCGTATATAAGTAACAACGCTCCCCATAAAGATAATGACGCCAAATCCTGAGAGCGAATACTACAGCAGCCATTTCTAAATCATGAGTGGGGTAATTCCTTTCATGTGGTTTCAACTGTCTCGATGCATACGCTACCACCTTTTCTTCTTGCATTAATACACACCCCAACCCGTTATGGGATGCGTCACTGTATACTACAAAATTCTTGCCAGATTCCGGTTGAACCAATATCGGAGTTTCCGTCAGAATTCTCTTTAAAGCTTCGAAACTTTCTTGACATTCAGAAGTCCAAACAAATGGTACGTTCTTTCTCATTAACTTTGTTAGAGGCAGCACAATCATCGAAAAATTCTTAACGAATCTTCGATAGTAACCGGCAAGTCCAAGAAAACTCCGAACTTCAGACACATTCTTAGGAACTTCACAATCCATTATAGCTTTAACCTTCTGAGTGTCTACTCTAATCCCAACTGCCGAGATCACATGCCCCAAGAAAATTACTTCGTTTAGCCAAAATTCACATTTGGACAATTTCGCATAGAGATTTTTATCCCTGAGAATTTGCAAAACTAGCCTCAGATGTGTGCTGTGCTCTTCAAATGGACTTCGAGTAAACCAGTATGTCATCAATAAAGACAACAACAAACTGGTCCAGATAGGGCTGAAAAATCCTGTTCATGAGATCCATGAAAGCAGCTGGTGCATTCGTTACTCCGAATGGCATTACGATGAATTCATAATGACCATATCTTTCTCCTGGATCTTCAATTGATGATAACCCGAACGTAGATCGATCTTCGAAAATACCGAAGCTCCTTTTAGTTGATCAAACAAGTCATCAATGCGCGGAAGGGGATATTTGTTCTTGATGGTCACCTTATTAAGCTGTCGATAATCATTACAGAGACGCATTGATCCATCATTCTTCTTAACAAATAACACCGGAGCTCCCCAAGGTGACACACTTGGTCGAATAAATCCTTTTTTCTAACAACTCTTGCAATTGATTCTTTAACTCTTGCAATTCTTTTGGAGCCATCCGATAAGGTGCCATTGCAATTGGAGCGGTTCCTGGCATTACTTCAATTTGAAATTCTACCTCTCTATCCGGAGGTAATCCTGGCAACTCAGCCGGGAAAACTTCAGGGAATTCTTGAACAATTGGAATCTCTTTTAACCCTTTCTCTATAACTCTTAAATCTATTACATTTGCAATAAATCCTTGACATCCCTGTAGCAATAGCTTCTTAGCTGACATTACTGACATTACTTTTGCTAAGGGATTAAACTTTTCACTGCTCACACTTATCTATGTTCCTCCTGGACTTTTTAGGGTTATCTTTTTCAATCTGCAATTAACATCTCCATAATAACGGAACAACCAATCCATTCCCATAATCACTTCAAACTCGTCAAAGGGTAATTCCATCAGATTAGGGAATTCAATTCCCTGAACCTTTATAGGACACCCCTTACAGACTTTATCCACCCGGGCACTAAGGCCTAACGGAGTTGTTACTATAATTTCATTACTCGTAGCTTCTAAGGGAATCCTCAATTCCTTTACTAACTTACTTGTAATATAAGAATAATTAGAACCCGGATCAATCAGTACCAATACTAATTTATCATACAACTGAAAAGTACCTGCTAATATCAGGTCATCACGGTCTTCACTTGTCTTTAGATTGTACACCCGTGCGGTTGATCGAACTTCAGGTTGAACAGAGAATTCAGACGGGTTCCTTCCTCTGCCTCTTCCTCGTCCTCTTTGTGAGGAAGAACCAACTTTTTCAGATGGTGCAGGCTCACCAACAATCAATGGACAATCCCGGATAAAATGTCCGGCATTTCCGCATCGAAAACAAGTCCCAACAGCCATCCGACAAGCCCCATAATGGTTTTTCCCACAGTGCTGACACTGTCTCACTTGACTCGGAGTAAATCTCCCAGCACCAGATTCCACTGACTACGACTGTCTAGGTCTTGCCTGACTTGCTCCCCTAGCAGACGATGCAACTGATTCCGATCTAGCTTGTGATCGAAATCCCGAGTCTCTTCCCCTTTTTGATGGTACTGAGCTAGAAGAAGCACCCGTTCTCTTTGATGTTTGAACTCTAAAATCCCCGAATCTCTCATTCTGAGCTCTTTCAAGAGCCTTGGCGCGATTGATCACCTCTTGGAACGAGGACAAATTTAACACTATCAACATCTCTTTCAATCTAGGGCGTAAGCCCTCCACGAACCATTCTAAGCCTCTTTTTCGGTAGGCACAAGCTCGGATGCAAACCTACTCAGCTTGTTGAACTCACATTCATACTCATATACAGAGCGGTTCATCTGTTTCAAATTCAAAAACTCCTGCTTCATTTGCCGAATGAATTGTTCTCCTATGTACTTGTTTTTGAATTCATCTAAGAACAAAGACCAAGTCAACTGGTCACTGGGCATCCTTATGGTGACATTCGTCCACCATATCCTCGTCTGACCCCTCAATAAAGATACATCTCCATCTAACTTCTCCACTTCAGAACAGTGGAGACCATCTAACATGATTTTCAAATCATTCAACCAAATATCCGCTGACACTGGACCTTCCTCAGCTTCTCCCTTATATTCAGGAGCTCCTAAGCCTCTCAACTCTTTTGCTACATTTATTCTTTGAGTTAGTGGAGCAGAAGGTTGAAGACTCGTCAGAATAGCGTCTAACGTTCTGAATAACGTATCTTGATCTTGCACAGGCACTCCTTGAGATGCATGTTCTTCACCTTGCCTGGCCAGGGCAGGTGAATTACTACTTTCAGCATGCCTATCTTCTCCCGCTTTACTACGGGAGCTATTATGTCTGGACATCTAATAAGAATAAACACATTGTTCTATTAGCAAAACAACATACTCATACTATACCAGATCAGAAGTTCTCACTATTTGTTGGCATGTATTCCATTTAAAGACTATAGACTCTGGTTTATACCTAGAATCGGCTAAACCATAGCTCTGATACCATTAAATGTAACACCCCCAACCCGTATACCAACCCGGATACGAGTCAGATATATTACATTGACTTTTAAAACACCACATATTACAAATAATAGTAAAATACTTGAACTTATATTACGAAAATACAATAATATACATATGGTATTATAAGTTTACTAAAATATTCAGAGCATACACAACTTAACTTTTTAATTACATGCCAACATCCATTTTCTTAACAAAATGACCTACTGATTAAGTTGCTTCTGATATGATGGTTGCAGGAGTAATGCTGTCAAGCTGCTTAACCTGTCTCGTCTACTTTCTCGGATCCTACGTGTGAAATACTCACACGCTAATTCATCGACTTAGTGAGGCAATGTAATAATAATAACAAGGCAATGTAATGAAAATGTCATAATGATATGAAATGAGATGAAAGCTTATACTTAATCAAGGTAGTTTACATCACCATTATCCTTACCTGTAAGCATATTACTTTAACATTCATGAATTTGTATTAATGAGTTTATTGGCCCATGATATCATATTGAGAACCTAAGGTATCTGAGTATTGTGAGGTTGTGCACTATGCTGTCACCACAGCTCGTATAAATGCACCGAAGTGCCGCATAGAATTGCACCGTAGTGCCATATAATAATGTCCATAAGGACCACATAGAATTCCTTAAGAATCATATACATATGCTAGGGATCACATATGTGTCTCACCAGACTTCACACATGTTCCAAAGAATATATATATATCCCGAAGGACCGCGTAGAATTTTGTCCCGAAGGACCGCGTAGACCCTCTACCCTTGGCATGCCAACTATACCTATAGTTCTCATCTACATAACATGGGCTTTTAAATTCCAATCTAAATGATCTTTTTTAACCATATACAATACATGTGTATTTATTCATAATTTTTTTCATATGTGGTATACATTCATGATACAAAGTCAAGAGACTCAACTCAAACTTTAAAATCAATCCACTAATTACTAAAATTTTTAAGTTATTCGAGTTATATTTTACAACTCAGTTTGAACTTGAAAAAAATTTCAAGTCGAGTCTAGTCTATGAAAGTTAATCCTCTGACCGAACGGTGACACGTGGCATTGGGGGTGAGCAAAATTCAACTCGAATAACGATTTTTTTACTTAACTCTTGAAAATTTTACTCGAATTAACTTTGAGTTATAATTTCATAAACCCAACTCGACTCGAAAAAGTTTAAAGTTCAAATTGAGTCGTAAAATACGACTCGAATAACTCAAAATTTTAGTAATTAGTGGATTGATTTTCAAGTTTACTTGAGTCTCTCGACTATGTATCATAAATGTATATCACATATGAAAAAAATAGGAAGAAATACACATGTATTGTATATGGTTATAAAAGATCACTTAAATGAGAATAAATTAATATCATAATATTATAAATATTTATAATTAAATTTAAACTGAAACTCAAAAAGTTGACTCAACTCGACTCGAAAAATTTCTAAGTCAACTCCGAGTTGTAAAATAGGATTAAACTTATTTTAATTTATTAAAAGTATGACTAAATTGAGAGAATATGTAAATAATATGGACCAAATGTGTGATTATATCAAAATATTTAACTCTACTACGACAGCTAACTCGGAGTGACCACATCTTAATTAAATAGAAACGAAAGTGACCATATATTATGTTTTTCGAAATCAGTGACTAAAAGTGGATAGAACAGAAACATAAGTGATTTTCCATGTAGTTAACCCTTAATTCTATTAAAAGTTAGAAAATATATAATCAACTAATTGAATAAATCATTGGAATTCAACCCAACTCAAATGGAAAGCGTAGACAGTGTAAGCCCAGCCCATCAGGTTGGAATTCAGCATTTTATCTCATCTCTTACGTTAGTAGCTGAGCCGCCTCTACCTCACCGTCACCTTCAACGTCACCGACTAGGAGAAGAGGTTGCCTCTGTAACAATATATACACTATATAAATATATTTAGCAAACCCTATTACCCTCCCTTCATCCCTCAAAACCCTAAACTCAAGTTTTTAGATAATTACTGCTCTGATCAAAATAAAAGAGGAAATGCCCGGTCCAACCTGCAACGCGTGTAACAAAGAATTCCTCGACGATGAAGATCAGAAGCTCCATTACAAGTCCGAATGGCATCGCTACAATCTCAAGCGCAAGGTCATTATTTAAAAACTATTCCTGATTACTTTTCTTTTTAATTTGTTGTGTTACTTCTGAACATATTCGAATATTCGATTTTTTTGTTGAAGTTTCCCCTTTTAGATTATTTTATCCTTGTTATTCATTTGTGAGTAATTGAACAAAAATTCCCTGCGACTTAATCGTATGCATGATCTGATGTTATCGGTTGCATCATTTTAGAAGATAAACAATACTAATAACTATATCAAAGCTTGAAAAGTCTCTCTTATGTGAGTTTTAATTGTAAAATTATTTAAATCAGGTAGCTGGGGTTCCTGGAGTGACGGAAGCTCTGTTTCTGGCAAGACAATCGGCACTTGCTCAAGAGAAACAAAAGCAGAATGAAACCCCAATGCTTTACAGTTGTGGTGTTTGTGGCAAGGACTATCGAAGTTCCATGGCTTATTCTCAGCATCTCAAGTCACGAGCCCATATCATGCAAGCTTCTCAAGGAACCGGTCACCCTCAAGAGGAGAATGCAATTATCAAGCCACTTCCTCGCCGTGCTGCAAACAAACCTCCCCAAACGAGGGATAAAGATGATGAGGAAAGCGAAGACGAGTGGGAGGAAGTTGATCCAGAAGAACTGGTTGGTAAGGCTTCAATTTCCTTAAACCAGTTGAATGTAACTGAGCATGGAGCCGGTGATCAGATGGAAGAAGATGAAGAAGAGGAGGAGGAAGATGAGGAACTAGATCCGTGCTGTTGTTTAATGTGTGACCTGGAGCACGATACAATTGAGAGTTGCATGGTTCACATGCATAAGTTGCATGGTTTCTTCATTCCTGATGTTGAGTATTTGAAGGACCCAGAAGGCTTGCTCACCTACCTCGGCCTTAAGGTATCAAGTTGTATGTGATTTCTGGTTTTGAATAAATGTGTTATATTTATATATTGAATTTTGGTCTGTTCATGGTGTTATTTTAGGTTAAGAAGGATTTTATGTGTCTGTATTGTAACGAAAGTTGCCACCCTTTCACTAGCTTAGAAGCTGTTAGGAAACATATGGCAGCCAAAGGTCATTGCAAGGTGCATTATGGTGATGGTGATGAAGATGAGGAAGCTGAGTTGGAAGAATTCTATGATTATAGCAGCAGGTATGCATCTCATTTTATCTATTTCTTTTTTTAAATATATAAATTTGTCTTTGCTTAGTATTATTTCTCTGGAAACAGCTATGTGGATGAGAGTGGGAAGCAGCTGGTTGCAGCTGGTGATACAGGAAACTCTGTAGAACTTGTTGGTGGCTCGGAGCTTGTTATCACCAAAAGCTCTGGTGAGGAAATAACAAGTAAAACACTTGGTTCCCGAGAATACTTGCGCTACTATCGCCAGAAGCCTCATCCATCACCTGCAAATAGCATGGCCATTACAGCTGCTCTGGCCTCTAGGTCTGTTTTCACCCTTTACCAAATCTTTAGCTATATCATCTATGATAGGAACTGCATTGCAACAACCATCAAACAACTATAATCATGTGTGTATATATATATATATCAAAGGGGGAATTCTGCACTGATTTTCAGGTACAGGAGTATGGGAATAGCAACCGTGCAGTCAAGAGAGCAAACAGTGAGAATGAAGGTGATGAAAGCAATGAATAAAAAGGGAGTGGAGGCAATGCGTACAAAAGTTGGCATGAAGAATAATGTCATTCGGAACTTGCCCAAGAATGTCCCATATTAGTTGCCAACTCTCAGCACATTATCATTTTCGGTATTATATTTTACTATATTGTATGTGTTGAGAACCTTGCACCTTGTTAATTCTGCTTGCACCCAAGCCCAAAGTAAATGCATTTCCTCATTTTATAAGCACTTACTTAGGGCTGTTTAAGGTTTAACACTTCCATAATTTATTTGATTAACTTGAATTAAAATTACATTTAGAAAAAATTAACCTTGTGCAATTTCCCAAGCCACCCCATCTTTAAACACTCTATAGACATCCACCAGCTGAGTTGATAGACGAAAAACAGTATTCAGGAGCCTCGTATATGTAGTAATCATCAAATTGCGACTACTGAAATTAATACTAACCTGTGCAACACGGAGCTTAGAGTGAATTATCCAAAAATTGGAAGTGGGTTAAAAAAGCAATCTAACTATAGAAAGCAGATTAAACATGATTATTGGTCTATTGCTATTCAAATTTAGGCTTAGTACAAAAATAAGTATTTAAATTATATCAAAATTTAATTTTTGATATTTAAAGATTTTTTTTGGGTGAAGAATAGTTTTCTAATGTTTTATTTATTACACTTTTAAGTATTTATTGTTAAAAGAAATCGTTAAATGACATGTGTTACGTTTATAGTTTATGATTTAAAAAAAAATATTTTTTGATAGAATGTGGTACATATACATAATTTAACAATCTTTTTTAGCCGTAGATACTTAAAAGATTAACGGAGAAAATATATACATATTTTTAACGAAAAACTATTTATATATCAAAAGTCAATTTTTAATATAGTTTAGATATTTTTTATATTAAGTCTTGAATTTTAAAAAAATGTAAAAGATTCATTAAAACATGATTACAAATCATAAATTTGAGATTCCAATTTCTCTAAATTGAACGTAAAAACACTTCAATGAAAGTAGGGAAGGTTCATTAATATTCCTTCAGATTTAATAATATTAGCTTAAAAATATATAAAATATATTTAACATTTCGAATAACTTTATTAGTTTAGTTAATTAATTAATTTTAAATTGAATTACTTGATAATTAAATTATGAAAAAAATTAATCATTTTTTATAAAAGAAATTAACAGCTAATCATTTAATTAAATTAATTTGATTTAATGGATTAATTGATTATACCTAGGGGTGTATTCGGTTCGGTTCGGTTCGGTTTAGTTTTTTATTAAAAATTGAACCGAACCGAAATAAGCGGGTTTTTAGAATTTAAACCGAAACCGAATGGTTAAAAAATTGAATTATGTGAAACTAATTTTTTCAGTTCGGTTCGGTTCATCGGGTTTTCAATGAAAAATTCACTTGAAACTATAAATTTTGTTTAAAAAATTGTCTATTCAGTTAAATATGGAACAAATGAGTTCTATATGAAAATTCGAACCGAATCAATAGAATTGAGACATTAAACCAACCTAAAAATCGAACCGTATAAAATCAAACCAAACCGTTTTACTCGGTTCGTATCAATTTTTCGGTTTGATTGCTCAGCCCTAATTGTACCACACCCCGAATTACTAGTGGTAGAAACCAAGAGACGATAATACGTGTGGAGATCGCATTTTCCATTTGTTGCATTTTTCGCGGCCAAGAAGCAGGCGGGAAAAGCAAACTGAGTAGCGGGAAAGTTGGCACGGCTAAATCTCTCTCTTCTAATTCATTTTTCCAACACATTTTTTTGGGTACTTTTGTAATTTCGTTTTCAAGTTTCAACCCTCGGATTATCTCTAGAGTTCCAAACATGTTCTCAAGCAGCCAATTCGACGCAGCCTCCGCCTTCTCTGGCGGTGGATTTATGCCTTCTAAGTCTTCTCACTTCACTAATTCAACTCCATCTCAAGTAAGAGACGGTCATCTCCCTTTCTTTATACCCAGGAAATAGCTAAAGTATTGTTTCCAAAACTTGTAAATTTTGTAGTCGATCTAATTTCCTTTTTCTTAATTTTGTTTGGGATTAACAGAGCCGTGACACACAGGGGTTGTTATCAGTAACGGTGAAGAAGATAAGTGAGGCTTCTCGATCTGGCGATGAGAAGCACAATTTCGTAATTGACGGCGTTCATGTTAACAGTGTACTATTTTTCTAGACCGTTTGACAATTCCATTTTTAATTGTTGGCTTTGTATGAAATGAATCCTAATTTTCAAGCCATGGTCCTTTAGTTCCAACTTCATGTAGCTTAGTTTTGAAGATTTTTCAATCTAGGCACTCAACTATTGGGTTATTTTCATTTTCTTTCATTTTTTGTGACGCTTTGCTGTTTCAGGTTAAGGTAATTGGGATGCTGTTTAACAAAAATGTAAGGTCCTCGGATGTTCGTTTCGACCTTGATGATGGAACTGGCCGTGTTGAATGTATAAGATGGTAATTCACCAATTTCCATCTGAATCAAATTAATTTATGAATGCCATCAATTATTTAGAGTTCCCCTTAATAATAGTAGCCTAGTTTCTGCTTTTGTTTAATTACTACAGTTAAAATCAATGTTGAAATTAGAGAAGCAATTTTTACATGAAATCGTAATCTATCTCATTTGAATAATTATTTCAATCAGGGTAACTGAAAGTGTTGACACAAGGGAAATGGATGCCTTAGAGTAAGTACTCTACTGCTTTATTTAATTTGAACGGTCGTGATTTATTTTGTCTTTTGAAATGTCATTGGATGCTTTTACAACAAAAATCGTCTTATTACACTCTTTACATCCATTGTACAGTAGGGAAGGAACTTATGTCTGTGTCATTGGACACTTGCAAAGCTTTCAAGGCAAAGTGCAATTAAATGCCTTCAGTGTGAGGTACGGTTTAAATTTTCTAGTTTCTTCAATTTTTTGATAGTGTTACCTCTGTCCATAATCTAATCATATTAATGTTTCTGATTCCATCTGATCCATATCACGTGACATTGTTTCTATGAACTCATTTCTATGTGTTTGTTAGTTAGCTATCTCTAAATTCCCAATGAAGCAAGCAGTAGAGTCAAAACAAGGATGGATGTTGTTGTTTTATGCTTCTTAAAACATTTTAGTGCTTTTTAGTTGGTGTTTAATGTGGACTTATGGTACCATTAGACATCATTGAGCTTCTTTCGATGTGCAGTGCCTCTTTTATCTATTATTTTATTTAACACCATGTCTTCACTTCTGCCACTTTCCACGTAATTTTTAACCTTTAATTGTTATATTCCTAGAATATGTAATATTGACAACTATTTGACTTCTATTCAACACACTACTGTGCGTCTCTGTAAGCATTAGTGTCATTGTTTTTTTGGGTTTCTTGTAATTCTCAGGCCCGTGACAAACTTTGATGAAGTTACTTGCCACTTTATTGAGTGCATATATTGCCATGTGCAGAATTCCAAAGGACAGGTATTATGCCTAAAACTGTTAAAGTTGCTAACTAATAATTGCTTAGTCATGTGATTCTTCTCCTGAGATGAGTATTGTTTTTGATTGGTGTTTTCCTCGTGCTAATGGTAGTTAGAGGGTGGTGCTCTGGCCCAGCCAAAGCTGACAGATTCATCATTGAGCACTCCTGTGCGAGGTGCATCAAATGCGTACCAGCCAGCTTCGATGGATGGTGTATGAAATCAAAATATGATAGCTTATTGTCAAATTTTGAGATCTTGTTTGTTTTATGTTTTCCATATATATCTTTTTTTTTCCAGGCGTCTGTCCAATATACTACTGATGGATTCAAGGGTTTTGATAAATTGGTCCTGAACTATCTGCAGCAACCTGCAAATATGTAAGTGAACTAAAATTGTGTTTTCCCCTTGGAGGGAAAATGGGTTTCAAAATATTTTGATTTTGAAACCTGTTGTGTAAAAAAAAATACAGACACGTGCATGTGTTATCTGTATAAAATACTTAAATTGGTTTTAGATTTTACTTTCATTTAGGTACTGCAAGTATCCAAGAGACATTCATCAAATGCATTCACATGCTTTTGCTGAAGGCTTTGCTCTTGTTGTTAACTTTTCTCTAAAATGATTTGAGTGGTTGTTATTTGCAGTGATAGAGAAATGGGGGTGCATCTAAATGAACTTTCACAACTGTTGAAAGCTCCCATAGAGAAGATAAAGTACCCTTTTGTGAATTTGCTTTTTTTTTTTGTCATTTACTTATAGCTTTGTTATTTATTTATATGATTCAATTTATTTGTGTTCTTATATCTTCTATATATGATAGGGATGCTATGAGTTTCTTGAAAGGGAAGGTTTGTGTACTCCTCCATAGACGATTATCACTACAAGGCAGTAGAAGGTTGCTAAATTTGGAGCCTAGTTTTAGCCCGGCATGGACTTGGCATTTTGGGTCTTAATGACTGAACGAAGATGTATGTTGCTTGCATACCTGGATCTTTTAGATAGAGCATACATGTTTATATTGGCTAGGAGTGGATAGGATGCTTCGTTCAATCTAGGTTTGGAATGTGATACTGTTGAAATTTGACATGTCGCACGTTTACTTAATAGCAGTTACTTTTTTAAAGATATTTAGGTAGTACTAAATTTGAGTATGCAGTTAGAGATGGAGTTTGTGTCATGTTTGTGATATATATATATTGAATCCTTTATTTTATATTTAAAGATTGTTGTAATGCTCTATTGGTTTTAGCAGTAAGGACCTTTGTTGTATAACAATTAATAAGGAAGCGATCTGTATCATGGATAAAATCATAAAATGACTGGTGGAAGGTTGAATAAAAGTATCCTATGTTGTGTGTATAATATCAATATTCAAATGTAAAAGTTAAAATGATTGGTCGTTATATATTTGCATGCCATGGGTTTGTTTTGAATGAGTCGAATGGGTATCATGAGAAAAGGTAAATAGCAGAGCAGCTAATGTTAGGGAGATTTCAATTGAATTTTTTCCTCCGGTTCCCAGGCTAATTTGGACTAACCCGTGTCACACAATAGCTTTGGGTGGAAAAATTATTAGATGAACTTGGCTTACTACGTCACCTTTGGTATTAACCAATAATATTTGTTGATCTCATTTTTTTTCAAAGGTGAATTTTTGCTTCTTTTCAATGTATAAATAAAAAGTGGGTAATTATTTTTAAGTTATTTTTAAAATTGGTGGATCTCATTCACTTGGATTATGGATAATGTGGTGAATAGGGGTCATCAAGTAATTTCTCCTTTGGGTGGGTGAGTTTTCAGAAGAGATTTTCTGCATATAGGACTTAAACTCGAGACATTACGTAGATAATATTAAGTGCTTATCAATTGAATTAATCATGTTGGTGATTTCAATCGAAATTCAATACAATTACTAGATATAGAAAGATTTCGTTAAAAATTAACTGATGTGGTCGCTTCATAATTGGGATTCGAAAGCCATGGAAGAGGAAAGCAACAAATACTAATACATAAATGGACACGATGTATGCATGCCTACAGTTCATCAAACAATTTGCATTCTCCTTTGAATTGGAAAAAGAAAGAAAGAAATACGTCCCACGTGCAGTCACACCTGAGCTGAGACCACAGAAACATTGGTGAAATGAAGTATCCCGGTCTGCTTCACGTGATGACCCATATGGCCTCCCTCTCCCAGTACCTTGGCTAGGGTCATGCGGCCCCGCCCCGTCACAATCCACCCTCAGTAATCAAAGTCGAATCTTGCATTCATAGGTACTTTTGTCTCTACTTGTCTCCCTTCCATTCGATTCCTATTCTTCTATACATATAGTTATATAAAAGGTCCCTAAAAGTACACTTGTCGTCATTTCACACGGGAATAAATCATAGCTAGCTAGATTAGATAGTAAACGAGTCGAGTAAAATTTGAGTATTGAGCTCGATTTGATTCCAAAATTTTAAATTTGAACTCGATTCAAAAGTTCAAAAATTCTCATACTAAACTAGCATTCGAGTTCAATTTAAACTCGAATTTGAACTTTAAGTACATGAAGATCTTATATTGCACTTTAAAAAAACAATAACATATAATAATATTGTAAATATTATTACTAATTTAATTTAAAATTTATATTTTTAAATATTATTTTTTCGAGTTCCTGTGAGGTTTTTGAATTCGATATCAAGTAGCTCGTTTCGGCTCATTAAGAAATCGAGTCGAGTTCATTCGATTGGAGCATTGATCGAATCGAACTCAAGTAACCCGTGGTGTATCTCGTCTCGTTACACCCCTCCTAAGCTGGATGATTATCACTGCAAAGTATTGCCCTCCAAACATCTCAATTGAGCTCACAAGGTGTTTTCTATCTGACTTTCTCTTCATAAAACTAATATGTAATCAAACGTATATTAATGTTTGTTGACAATTTTTGGATCGGTATCGACCCTTGTGTTGTTGTGTCCATTTAATAGACCAATTTATTATTTTCTTCAGTATTGTTTTTTGCATTAATTTAGTCTTTAAAGTAGTACAATTGCATTAATATTTAAAATATTTATTATTATTTAGAGTTTTAAGTTAAGGATTAAGGCTTAAGTTTAAAGTTTAGAGGTTTAAGATTTAGAATTTAATGGTTTAAGTTAGTGTCGGGGGTATAAAATGATGAAATAAACAACTTACCGCATATCAATCAACACAATTCTCTTGGGTCTGGTCTGCTGTAAGAAATATAGACTAGCTGATCGATGATTGTAATTATAAAAAAAGATGTTTGAAAAGCAAATTCAGACAGAAAACCATCAGTTCCCGATTCAACGGGGTCGACACTTTTTAGTGTGTCTTGTCGGTTCAGGCTGACATGGAAGAAAGAATGGTAAAATCTCCACAACTGCAGCCTTGATCGTTATTATTATATACTAATCAAACATTATGCAGTACATAAAATCATGAAACAAACACCACCTTATTCTTTTTTGACTTTGCATTGGCAGGCAGCTTTCTTGTAACCCACGTGCAACCACCATGGCAAGCAAATCACTGAAACCCTAAACATAAAGTATTATACAAACCATGAAAATGCCCTAAACGCACCTGAGCGGAGAAGGGAAGAAGAAAGAAAAAGATAAAAGGGAGTGGTAATGCTCCGTGACACATATATACATATAGAGAGATCTATGATGGTGATCGAGTAGATCGACGGTCGCAGTCACATGTCACGTACGTGGAAGACGTTGGGGTTCTTAACGACGATATCGTACATGTGAACGGAGGAGAACTTGGAGAAATCTTTAGGGAGAGAAATGAGATCAATGGAGGAGTGCTTGTGGAACTGGTAGAGGTCAGGGTCACCCCCGTAATACCTCTCCCACCCTAAACCCCTCAAGATGCGATCCAACGACGAGTACGACGACACGACTTCATCCGATGGCAAGTGCACCAGAACCCGAGTCCGGGAATTACTTTCGAGCCGATATACACCATTGTTAAACACCCAAACTCCGGCCATTTCCTTTTTCTTCTTTCAATGTATGTGTTCTGTAATAGTATGTTATATGTTGGTGGTAAGGGAAGGAAAGGTTGGGGGTATATATAGGTCAGTGTGCTGAAGGGACACATAAAAGCAAGAGGATGATGTTGATATGTTAGGGTTTGGTAGAGAATCTAGATATTGTGGACCTCGTCTCCATGGGTTTAAATATGAACGAGGGTACATAGATGCCCTCTATGACGTGATTTAGGGTACACATACCATTACCACCCATCCATCGTGGGGTATGGATGTTTGTGTTTGCACAAAGAATCTCCTTTTTTTTTCCTTAATTAAGTAGTAAATTTATTAAGCACATATATAAATAAATGTTTTTAAGTTGTTGGTTCTATAATCAAGATTCTGGTGACACTGCTTTTATTAAGTGAATTAGGGGTGTTTGGTTCAGGTTTCTCACATTATTGGGGAATTGAATGTCATTCCCGTTTGGTTGACAAACATTCTCAGCCCCCGGTAATAAGTTGTTCCCAACAGTGGTATTTTGGGTATATTACCGGGAATGTAATTATCCCATTCCCTTAGGTATTGTTACATTCCTGACGTTTTGGATTAAAATACCCTTAAATTTTTTTCTTCAAAAATATCCTTCTTCCGTCGTTGAATAAAAAAATTCTACAAAGGATAAATTACAAATTTATCCTTAAACTATTTTATATTTACAAAAAAATCATAATTAGAATTTTATATGAAGTTCAGGGATTAAAATAAAATTTTACCCTTTCATTAAACCTATTTATCTTTTCAATTTTGTAAAAAAATTATATAAATTTTATGAATTTAATTTTTAAAGAAAATATATAAATTAATTATAGTAATATTATAGTATACTTCAACTTGTTAAAAAACAAATATATAATAAGACAATTTGGTAAAATATAAATTCCAATAATCTTTTATTCATTTAACCAAACACTGTAATCTTACATTCCTGCTAAACGAACCAAACACAAAACACAACATTCTCAGTAATCTTATTCCGCCGGTAATCTTACATTCGTGAACCAAACGAACCCTTACAGTAAAAACGATGAAGATAATAATAATTTATTTGTTTTGTATTTAATGTATTAACGCTTAAATTGGATTCACTACTTAAATATTTTTTATTATTTATAAATATATCACTCTTCGAGATTTATTTACAAAAATTATATTACCCTTTTCACATAACTCCTCATTGAATCTTATTTTATATAAGACATGTCTTTAATTTTATGTGAAATATAGTTAACATGTCTTGATTTAGGTTAACGACATAATTGATCAAGTGTGCCTTTTCGTAATTTTAATTTTAAAAACAAATGGTTTAATTTTAAGAAAATAAGAGAGAGAAAAAATCCAAACTTTTAACTCATGTTTAGGGGTATAATTTTTCAAATATCAATTGATTATTTAAACTAAATAAATATAAATAATAATATTAACTATGATTGAAAAGTTGTATCTACTGTGAGATATGTCCTTCAGTATACGAATATATCGTTAACAAAAACGAATAATATATATTAATAATATAATTATATTATAATAAATATAATTATATTATAATATATGGATAAATGTAAAGATTTATTTAAAAATACAAGTTACGAAAAAGAGAGAGTTGAGAAGAGGGTATATGCAGAGACGCAATGTAGGGTGCAGCCAATTTAGATGCATCGATCACGAGATGTCCACGTGAAGAGAGAGACAGGTTTGCCATTCAATTTGATTTAGTTGTGGGGTTCAAATTTATTTATCAATAAATTTATTTATTTATTTATTTTATATATGAATTAATTTTTAAATAAAATGCTTTCTCATAATTGGCTACCCTTTGCTTGAAACCTTAAAAGCCACTTTTTAGTCTTTTCCTTTCTTATATTCGTGTAATAACAAAATCATTCCAAATTAAACATAAAAATTATTATTTTTTTAGTTTTTTAATGCTTTATTTCTCCTAAATTATGATGATAAAAAGAAGTTCCTATGGATCATTGATCAACCAATTTTTAAAATAACAGATAAATAATTTATTATTCAATTTAATAAATATAAAATGTAATTAATATGATACTGATAACTTTCAAAGATATATTATCGTGTCCTAATTAATGCATAGTTGATGTTACATATCTTTTTTCACAATACTTTATTGGTATATATATGATATTAATTTTTTTATTAATCTAGGTGAGTATAAGATAATATTTGTTTATAGATATCACTTAATTCATGTATTTATTTTATCTTTTTATTATTATTAATATAGAGTGAGTATAAGACAATATCTATTTATAAATATAACTTGATTTGTGTATTTATTTTGTTTTTTTCATAATCATAGTATGAATAATGAGATTTTTTTTTATTAAAAAAAGTAAGAAATAATAAGAAAACCCACATGGCCTCACATGGGCGATCTCTATAATATATGTATAGGATGGTCCTCAGTGGCTCACTCAAGCCAACTAGGAAAAGGCAAAAAGAGCTCATATAAGCCGTGTTGTCAAAATCTTTCATATTCTTTGAAACATCATTATTCACTACAAAGAAAACAAATTGTGTTTGTCTTGTCTGCGAAATGAACTCAACTTCCCATCCCCTTCAAGCTGTTATTGGACAAAATTACTGATCTTTAATCAACTCCAAATTTCACACTTCCTTCCCAAACCTTTGTTCACGTGTGTTCCTCTTTAAGCCTACCAAATGGCACCATGTCCTAAATGGAACATGCACTCCCATCCCCCAAACCTCTTTATTATTCACTATGCATGTGTATGTGTACCCCAATTACAATACCAGTCTTCTTTCCATGCATACTAAGACACCACTAGAAATGGATGGATCGAGGGGCAGGTGAGGACAATCATCTCCTGAAAATATAAATTTTCTATATATTTTAAATTTTTTCTATGTGTTTTCTATTGAAAATTGTTTTCGTCCCCTGAAATTATGTAAGTTCAAGTTCATTACCGGAAATTTTAAAAGTTCAAGTTCATCCCCTAACATAAAATCTTGAGTCCGTCCTTGGACTCCACTGAAAATGGATCGATGGAGGTGTTAAGAAAGTTAAAGTATGTGGTTTAGTATAATCAATGAGCATGAGAATCCACTAAATCCTATGGAACTCGCGTAATATACAAGTACTAGAGGGTAATGGCATATATACTCGCTAATAAATTAAGTACATAAAAATATAAAGCAAGATTAGGTCGTCTATATATTTATATAATCACAAAAGTAAAGGGTATAATTAGCTGCATTAGTAACCTATAAATATAAAATTAAATTATAGAAGGAATTATGGAAAAGCTATAGGGAAAGAAACAGATAAAATTTTAAACTATTCCCAGATAGAGTTGGGATAAGTAAATTTATTTGGTGATTCCATAACCCATAATTCCCCTCTCCAAACTCATTAGGTAATGCAAATAGTTGCATACAGTTTGCAAAGCCAAAGGGAATATTATTAGTGAATTGTGTGTGTATATAAATATAGTTTGTCAAGTGACAATAGTTCAGTGGGAATTCTCTAAGCAATTAATAAATAATATTGTGAGGGTATATTTTTTTTTAAACTTTTTTATATAATATTTTAAATTAATAATTCAACCACTCCTTTTGTAAAATCATTTTTGGGTAAAAAATAATATTTTATTTTAAAAATATATTTTTATAAAGATTCTTTCCTTCTTACCCACATTTGTACGTGTGGTATCCATATTATAACAGTCATTATCAAATTTGATGTCATGAGGTAAACAATATCAATTGAATAGTATATATTATAAATCAACACTAATTAATTCGGTGAACGCTCCGAAAAATAAATAATCATTAAATTAAAAAATAATTATCTTTTATTTTTTAAAAATATATTTTTAAAAAGCTTGTTCGTCTTTCTATAACTACCCTTAAAACCAAATTCCTAAATAAACCAGGCATTAATATAATTATTTAGAGTAAAAATAATTCAAAATACTTTTATCAATTAATCAGGTTAAAAATTGATTAATTAACTAAATTAATCAAAATCTTAATATGTAATTAATATATTCTTAAGTTTAAACTCAAACCTATCAACCAACCATGATATTTAAAATTGAAGAATTAAAATTTTAAAAATAACAGTAAAGATAGATATATTTTAATATAACTTTCTTGGGAAATGCCTTTATTTATAACGAAAGGTACAAATTAATTTATATTGACAATTAAGATCGAAGTCCACTTACTACAAATCATCTCTCTTGGCAAATTATGCAAAATCACATCAATTAGTTTATAAAAAGAATCTATCAAAATGCACGAATCAAACGATCTTAAAGTCTCGAGTTCGAGCTGTTGAAAGTCCAAGTCAAAATTCACGACGGTTGTAGAGTGAATTCTTTGGTCCAATTTGACAGCTGATTTTGGTAGAAAATTGGCAAGGGAAAATTATCCAATTTAATCACTATATTTTAGGATATTTACAAGATTAGTCTTAAGCTTCAACTATAAATACCCTAACCCATTTAGCTTCAAAACCATCTCAAATCATTCTAGCTTTTCCAATACTAGAGAATTTAGAGAGTTTTTTTAGAGTTGTTTTATGCTTTTTATCAAGAGAGAATTGTTATTGTTTTCTCCTTGTTAGATCGAGAGAAGTTGTAATTCTTATTTTCTCATAGTGAAATTCTTTTATCTTTCTACGTGATTTTTACCCTATATTCAATGTTAAATGGCTGATAATTATATTTGAACATATATTATCTTGTACTTATCCTAGATTAATAAAAAATGCATCCAAACAATTACTTCCACATTACATAATTTCATTGGTATAGTCGGACAAATGCATGTAAAAGATCTCTATATAATAACAAGAATAAAAATATCATCAAAATTTACCATTGGAACCGGAAAACTATGGGAGGATTTTGTGTTAATTAACAACGGGAAGCTTGGGAGGGGGGGGTTTATCTCAAATAAATTTACC